ACGCCTTCTCACCTTCCCACGTCTAGTGTAACTGGTTCACGATTTACCTGTCATACCTTTAAATCACCTCCCCCCCCCCCCCTCTTCTCCTCTCCCCCCCTTCCATCACATCCCCCCCCCGCCTGACGCTTATCTGTCTCTGCTTCTCACTTCCTCTCTCACTCCCCTACCTCTTCTCTCCTCTCCTCTCCTCTTCTCTTGCCTCCCTCCCTCACCTTCTTTATCCCTTCTCTCCTTTCCCACCTTCCTTTTCCTGCTTTCCTCCAACCCCTTCTTCTCTCTTCATATCTCCCTCCCCCCCTCTCTCCTCTTCCTCTTGTCTTCGTTCTTCATCACACCTTTCCTCTCTCCTCTCTTTTTTTGAACCTTCCTTTCCCTCCTATTCCTCTCTCATTCCTTCCCTCCCTCCTCTCTCTCCTCTCTCTCCTCTCCTTTTCCCTCACACCACACCCTCCATCTCTTTTCTTCCTTCCCTCCTCTATCCTTTCCTCTCCCTTCACATCACTCCTCCCTCCATCTCCTTTCTTCCCTCCCTCCTTTATCCTCTATCCTTTTCTCTCCCTTCACGTCACTCCTCCCTCCATCTCTTTTCTTCCCTCCCTCATCCCTTCTTTATCCTTTCCTGTCCTCTCATACCACTCATCCCTTCATCTCCTCTCTTCCCTCCCTCCTCCCTCCTCTCTCTTCTCTTCCCTCCCTCCTCTCTCCTCTCCTCTCCCCTCACATCCCTCCTCTCACCATCTCCTCTCTTCCCTCCCTCCTCCCTCCTTTATCTCCTCTCCTCTCCTCTCACACCACTCCTTCCTCCATCTCCTTTCTTCCCTCCCTCCTTTATCCTCTATTCTTTCCTCTCCCTTCACACCACTCCTCCTTCCATCTCCTCTCTTCCCTCCCTCCTCCCTCCTCTATCCTTCTTCTCCCTTCACGTCACTCCTCCTCCATCTCCTTCTTCCCTCCCTCCTCCCTCCTTTATCCTTTCCTCTTCCCTCACATCACTTCTCCCTCCATCTCCTCTCATACCACTCCTCCCTTCATCTCTTCTCTTCCCTCCCTCCTCCCTCCTCTCCCTTCACACCACTCCTCCCTCCATCTCCTCTCATACCACTCCTCCCTTCATCTCTCTCCTCTCCTCTCCTCTCATACCCCTCCTCCCTCCATCTCCGCTCTTCCCTCCCTCCTCCCTCCTCTCCTCTCCCTTCACACCACTCTCTCCATCTCTCTTCCCTCCCTCCTCCCTCCTTTATCCTTTCCTCTCCTCTCATACCACTCCTCCCTCCATCTCCGCTCTTCCCTCTCCTCTTCCCTCCCTCCTTTATCCTTTCCTCTCCTCTCATACCACTCCTCCCTTCATCTCTCTCCTCTCCTCTCCCTTCACATCACTCCTCCCTCCATCTCCGCTCTTCCCTCCCTCCTTTATCCTTTCCTCTCCTCTCACACCACTCCTTCCTCCATCTCCTTTCTTCCCTCCCTCCTTTATCCTCTATTCTTTCCTCTCCCTTCACACCACTCCTCCCTCCATCTCCTTTCTTCCCTCCCTCCTCCCTCCTTTATCCTCTATTCTTTCCTCTCCCTTCACACCACTCTCTCCATCTCTCTTCCCTCCCTCCTCCCTCCTTTATCCTTTCCTCTCCCTTCACACCACTCTCTCCATCTCTCTTCCCTCCCTCCTTTATCCTCTATTCTTTCCTCTCCCTTCACATCACTCCTCCCTCCATCTCTTTTCTTCCCTCCCTCCTTTATCCTTTCCTCTCCTCTCATACCACTCCTCCCTCCATCTCCGCTCTTCCCTCCTTCCTCCCTCCTCTATCCTTCCCCCTCCCTCCCCCCAACCTCGCCCTCCACTCTGCTATTCCTGTTATGACGCCCTTGGTTCATAACTCCATTGTGTCCTTGCATTACATCGTCATAATGAACGAGAGTCATTATAGGGACATCCGTTTGGCACAGCGCCGTATGGATAAACTTTACTTGCTCTCCATGTTATAAACTTTGACTCCATTACCAGCGATATAATTTCGGCATTTTGTCATTATGTTATTCAAGTATTTATCTCAATTAATCCATCTCAATATCACGTCTCCTCTCTTTATCTCTAGGATTCTCCAAACTCTCTCCTCACGTGACTATTTCTCAATGGAATGTACAACAAAACATGTTTATCTGGTGGCTGGTGTTTTTCCTTCTTTCTTCAATACATTTAGGGATTCCCTGAAGGCTGGACACAACAGACGGAAATCCGCTGGCTGAGATAGAAGCAGCTGTGCTTATACATAGATGAATGCGTTGGGATTTTTTTTCTTTTCTTTTTTCTTGTAAATTAATAAACGTGTGCTTGGTTTTATATGTATGTGTATACACACACACACACACACACACACACATGCAATTGTGTGTGTATGTGTCCATGTATATATCTATCTACATATCTATCTCTTTATCTAACTATCTATCTGTCTCCCTACCTATCTATTTATATCTACAATTCTATCTATCTGTCTAT